ATCTGTGATTGGTCCACAAAACTTGCGTCATCCTCTCAACCGCGCTTTTGAGCGGTTTGCTTGCTGCTCATCGGTTCCCGCGCTTTTGGGCTGTTTGCTTGTTGCTTATCGGCGCCCTTTTCTATCTTACTTAGTTCTGATAGGCCTGCAGTGATAAAGTTCATACAGGTTTGCGAAACTCAGCAGAGAAACACTCTTACAATGTCCAGTTATTATATATTTGCTTTTTGTTTTGTTGTTGTTGTTTTAAATAATTTTTCCTTTTGCCTCAGTTAAGTTTAGAAGGACTCTTACAGTGTCCGGAATTTTTGTACTTCTATTTTTTGTTTACTTTTTGGGTTTGTCTCAATTGAGAAGGAATCTTACAGTGTCCATTTTTTATATGCTGCTTTTTTCTTCTGCTTTAAGGTTTTGTCATTTTTTTGTCTATTTTTCAATTTTCATGTTATTTAGAGTTCCTTAGTAAAAGTTTCGGCCGCAGTGATGCCTTTGTCTTTCCTTCACCTTCTGCCTTTTTTATTTTGTTTTTGCTTTCCTTTTGTGGGCTTAGGTTGCTTTGATTTTCTTTCCTCTACCGGCTGTTCTGTTTTCCTCTTTCTTCCAGCTGTCGCACCTTTATCCCTGAAATAAAATAACGACAATAGCAGTGAAACCAAAATACTGAAGATCCGGCTCGGGAGTGTTCTATTACGCATATTGTAACCGGAGGGGGGGGGGGGGCGAGGCATCGCTTCCTAATTTCTTCACATGAATAACTTCTTCGTCGTTAGGAGGAACCTAACAGGGGGTTGTAACTACCATAAGAACTTGCCATCCCCTATCCTCAAGGGTGTATTGCGTAGAAAAGGGAATAAAAGGTTGGGTATTTCCCACTCTCTATAGGAAACCTTTCTGCAGTACGAAGGACCTAACCAGGGGAAATATTGGCATCTTCCCTTAAATCTTAAGATTTTTTCCAATTTCCGCGTGAGAGACGTTGTCTTCTTATTTGTTGTTAACAGCCTTTGCCAGAAGAATCCATCACGGAGCTAGAATTTGTCGATGCAACTGTGGGGATGAACATTCCCAAGAATTTTGTTCCTTCTATAGAAAAGGTGTCTACAATTTTAAAATGTGTTTCTCAGTGACATAAAAATGTGAATTTAGAAATTCGTTTTATCCGCAGTCAATCATTCCACGGGTCTCAGGAAACGGATACAATGTTCCCGAAGTTTCAAAGAGTCTTGCTCTGAATTTGAATTGAGGATTCCGATCCATTTAAATTGTGTGTGCTTTTAGATTTAGGAAACGGTTTTTACTACAGGCAGCAAGACGCATAGACCACGAGTAGTCTCTTCTTTTCGGCGAACTCCGTCGAATGAGGAAAAGTAGGGAACCTACTTTTCTTGGGCCTCTTCCCCAGAGTTCTGCGCGACGCGCTAACATCAATTCTTTAGTCTAACAATACGGACGTCGATAGGTCGGAATTTTTTCAAATGTATTTATATTTTTCCATATTTTATATTTCAGGGTTTCCTCGAGATTTGTGAACGCGGCCTTCTTACTGGACACAAGTTAGCTGGAGTTCGTTTTGTCCTCGAAGACGGTTAGTTTCTGAATAAATGAAGAAATCAGGTAATTTTTTAAATTTGGCGCAACACATGTAGACAGCCTCGAAATCTAAAGGCAGTGTAAAGTCATCGCACGATAGTAGGAGGCTCATCGTGAAGGACTGGCTTCCAGTTGCCATAGCCCGTTATTTGTTAGGCCACAGGAAGCCGAGGGCTCAAAGTTGACCGTCTAACCAGTAAATAGCCCATTTCCGAATTACCCTCATTTTCAAAACGAGGCCTGGTGCTCAACCATTCTTGTGAAAATAAGTTTAATTTGCATGTGAATGAAAACTTATCATATGAAAGGATGAGCACCAGGACACGTTTTGAAAATGAGGCCAAGGGTAATTTGGAAATGGGCCATTGACCGTATACCATTTTTTTTTTTTTTCAATGAATAAAGACTACCAGATCTTGTTGATTGAGTCCGCTACGTTAATCCTTCCCCCTGATTGGTTTCCTTGGTTACGTTCCTAGCCTCCACGAAAGCTATACTGTAGTTAGGGACCGGTCATTAGGGGTTGGTGGAGGATGTAATCATGATTGTGGCACAATAAAATTTTCTTGATCACCCCTATAAGGCTCTGTAATTTTCTTGGCAGTTACAGCAATTGGCATTCAATTTTCTATGTCCCCCCCCCCTAGAAACTCAGTCAGAGACGACTGATTCTCTCCTTCGTTCCCCTTGAAAACCATGTGATCCCTTAAAAGACTGGTGCAAGGAAATATTTATTTGATATAAAAATGGGCGAAATTCGATTGCGTGACTGCAATCGAATATGTATGCAAATTATTGCGATCTCCTACAGCTCAGTGTTTGTGCTTTTTAAAAAATAGTATTAAAATTTCGAACGTCGATTTTGTAGCCACAGACCATTGAGATCAACCATTTGTTCGTTAAAGGATCACAAGTGTGAAATTTTTCGTCGTCTCAAATGTTTTGGTTTTCATGCCTCATTGAACGGGTTTTAAAAATGACGCAAAATTATCCGCCTTAATTAAAATTCTCTGTTAAGATTTCACGCAATCCCAACGCGTTGCTAAATTTACAGACAGCAACAAAAACGGAGAACTTTGGAGTCCAAATTTAACCGACCGCACATTTAATTTTGTAGTGTCATTTATGTTTGTGCCATAAATGCCTAAGATAACAAGTAAGAGACGGGCGTTAAAACTCTGCTACTCACAAGTGTTTGCTAGTGAAGGATGTTTGTTCGCCTTTGTCACTATCGTGGGACAAAGAAAACGTCTGAGTCACCATAAGGAATCGAAACTCAGATGTACAGATTTTGCGCTCCGATGCTCCACCACTGAGTTACAGAGACGCAATGGCGAGTTGGACCAATTTTAGGTTCTTGTACGACACGCGTTGTGCATATTGCAAGATCAACATGAGCAAACTTACTTGAAAGTGATAAGGTGGTAGAACATCTCCACATCTTCGTCGTCATCATGATCTCCGTGTTCGTGGTCTCCGTGTCCCTGATCCTCGTATTCGAAATCTTCGTAGTCACAAAATTAGATCCATGTTTACAAATCTCCACCATATGCCGGCCGTCTGGCTTGAGGAGTGACTGCATCAGGCTCGTGTACTCCTTTAGCCTTGTTTTACCCATCGCATTAATCACAGGCATGGCAGACTGATCCCAGATGCCATCGAACTTTCCTCCAGCTACCTTGGGAGAGAAATTGAAGATGTCACAGTGGTATATTGTAATATCTTGGCCTTTCGCCTTGTACACGTCTGCTTTCTTTTCATCCGTGATCTTCTTCTTCTGGACTGTATACTCCAGGTTAGAATCTTGGAAGAACTTTTTGATGTAGCGAGGGGAAGCTTCTACACCTGTGATCGCGTGACCTTGTTCTGCTAGCCAACGCATGTCCGGCGTCTTGCCGCAAAGGGGCACGAAAATGTGTAGGTTTCTGCGGCCTCCTGTGAGTTCAGTGACATTTTTCATCAGAATAGGGTCCACCTTTTGCAAATAGTCTGGTTCCTCGGGCTTCTTCGATGCTTTTTTTGAAGACTTGCTTCCTTTCTTACCAGCTTTGGTCGCCATGCAAATTTGCGTCGCTTTCTTCTCTGGTTTCTTTGCTTTCTTCTATCCTCCTGGCTGGCCTTGCAAAGAATCATGGGTGATGAACTTGTGTAGCATGACATCAGACGCTATTTGTGGACAATAACTGTTGCGCAATATTGTTCAAATACGTAAAGCGTTGAATAATTTCAGTAATTTTCTCAATTCTTGAACTTTTTCTTGAGGGAAAAATTGAGAACGGCTTGTAAGGTATTCAGGTGACAAACACGGTTTAGACGGAGAGCAAACTTTCCTTAGTAATTTCTAAGGATTCTCAAGAACTTTGAACATAGTTAATCGATTAACTATGCTTTTGAAATAGCACACAGTATCATGATCGATTGCGAGGCAAGATTGCGTGACAAACCTCAGCCAGATGTTATTTGTAAATATTTTGTGAAAGGTTTATAAAGAAGTGTATGGTTTCTACGCCTCGTTTGTGACACGCTAATATTGTCATTACCGGCTTACTTGGAATAGTCGTACTCTAACTGAGCATAGATTTGAAGTTTAAAAAAAAAAGATCAGCTTTTCATGGCTTGAAAGCCTTGAGAAGATATTGCTTGTTATCAACTGTCGACCATTGAAAACCTAAAATGTATTTCCTATCTTTTTGTCCTTTGTTGTGACTTTAAAACTCATCACCCATGGATGTGAGTTGTAGCCATCTGTCCCGTCATGCTCCGAAGAACTCGATTTTCATGGTAGAAAACTAGTGGAGGAGGTGTGGTATTTTCCGGTCTGTTCCGTGATTGTGTGGATGTAGGTTGTAGAGCATTTCCACCTTTGGATTATTGACTCCTAATGCAGATTAGAGAAGGGATCGAAGAATTATCCTCTACGAATTTATATTTTGTCACACAGTTTTAGTTTTCCTAAAGAAACTAGTCATTATTTATCGCCTGAGTGGGGAAGGGAGGGGGTTTGGGGTTGGGGATTTTTGTGGAATCACATGGTATTCTGGGGGAACGGAGCAAGGACCAGGCATTGCCAACAGATTACAAAGGGGGGGGGAGGACTATAGAAAATCGACTGACAACTAACTGCTAATTAGGGGGTGGGGATCATAAGAATATTGTAAAGTCTCTTTGAGGATCAGATAAATTTTAACTTGTCTCTCAAAATTCTCCGGATCCTCAACCCCTTCCCTCCCCTCCTCCGCTCCCAACGAGGCAATAACTGATGACCAGACCCTAAGTTACAAATTTGTATCCAAATATTAAATACCATGAAATATTACATTTTAAACAAATACTTCAGGTGCTGCTCATGGGGTGGACTCCAGCGACCTCGCTTTCAGACTTGCAGCCGCAGGAGCCGTGAGAGAAGGTACAGTCATGTGACAAACTAAGGCGTGGTATCTCAAAAAGTATCAGTAAAAAGTTGGGAATGTATCCCATAGTGCTATTCAGGCGGGTATCGTTATTTTACTCTCTCTTTACGACGCTGCACCGTGTTTCCTTTAGCGTCTTTTCCCGCGCTTTCTTAGCACACTGCATTGTTCCCCAAGCTGTTTGTTTTATTTACCTTTACAGTTTATTACTAAGTTTTTGGCACTTTCTTTGTTAGTTAAACCTTTTACACTCTGATATCCGTATGCATATTCTCCATTCTATTCTCTATACATTTCCCAAGGCGCTGACAAGGAGAATTTGCGTAACAATCAAAAGCTTTACCAGTTGATGATCATTTCCTTTATTCTCCTGAACTAAAGGTTGCATAAAGGGCTGATATTGTAGGGAGAAATTAGATTCTTATCACTGTTAGGGATCAGAGGTTTGAAAAACTAATCAATGAAAGAGAGTACAATCTTTTCTCTCCAAGGAGAGATTGGAATGCCAGTTCTTCTCGCGATGGAATAGTGACAGTAACTGAAATGTCTGGTCATCTGTTACAAAGACTAACTCTCAGAGGATCTTCAATGTTTTTTGTCCATTTTAACAGCATTTCCAAAGGCTGCTCCTCTGATTCTGGAGCCAATTATGTCAGTGGAGGTGAATATTCCTCAGGAATTCCAAGTGAGAGGCCCTTTCTACTTCTTCTCCCTCTCTCCCTTGATCCCTGCTTCCTCCCCCCCCCCGATAAAAAATAAGTTAGTTGTGTTGTTTATTCATTTGGCAAGGTATCGTGAGATTTGGCATTTTTCAATACAGTGACAGGAGCATCGATAGCCGTGGGTTTCAAACAAGCGAGCGGTGCGTACGCACTTAAAATTCTGTCGTAGTTTGCGAGGATTCTCAACAGACCACTCACGGATCTTTCGCACGCTCGCCTCGCTAACCAGCTCGAATATCACAGGCTTCTCTCTCGTGCTGCTGTGCAAGTGAGAGCCCGTTCGTAGGCTTGGCTGATCAGTCCAACACACATATATTTGAAACTCCTTATTCACTCCCGTTCCAATTGTAGCTTTTCTCACCTAACGAAATGCTTTCTGCATATGGTGTTGAGTTATGAAGGTGACAATTCATGCGCAGAAAATTTGTGTCTCACAATCATTCGACGAACCTGTTAGCAGTGCTAAAAGTCTGTACTCCAGCTAAGTAGCCGTAGCTTACTTCGGTTTCCATAGTATGAGGCGTCTAGGGTGTATCACCACAACGCATTGACTCAGCCAGCTTTCGAACGTGGACATCTCCACCGGAAGTTCTGGGCCGGATTGTTCAAAGCTGGGTTAAGATAACTCGGGGTTAGTGTGAAATCTGAAAGCTTTAAAACAAAAACTCTATACAATTCTTTTTGTCTAGATTTTGATGATTGGATGCTCTTAAACAAATAAAGAAAATTATCCCGAAAAGGCTTTCGCTCTAAGGAATATAGAAACCCGGATTGATATTTAAGCTTGAGTTAGCGCTAATCGACCTTCGAACAACTAGGCCCAGGGCTTTAACTATTGAGCAACCTTCTCTCCCTCTGGGACCAATGAAAGGAACTGAATTTTGTTCTCCTTTACAGGGAGTGGTAATTTCAGGCCTTAATCGTCGACATGGTGCAATCACTGGCACAGACGCGGCGGAAGGTTATGTTACAATTTATGCCGAGGTATTACAACTTCCTGCTTTATTTTTGATACATTCTGCCAATTGAAAGTTAATCAGACAGATACGAAACCGCGGTCGAACGTCGGGCATGCGCAAGTGGATAGATTGTGGCCGACCTTGTGCAAGTGTCCCGCGCAAATTTCAAAGATCTGGTATTTCATAAACACACGCTCTTAAGCATAATATGCGGAAAAACTTTTAAAACGGCAACAAAAGTTAGAGAGAGTATAGCTAGAAACTTACCGAATACAAATCTATTGATTTACTATTTCGTGTGAAGCTTTATAAAAAAAGTTTTACTATTTTTAAAAAAAACCATGTCTTACTGGCTAGTTTGGTTGTTCTTAACTTCTGTGAAGGTTTGGTTATCATTTTTGGTTATTACCCGAAAGAACGCCTGTCAGTCATCACAACGTTCGCTAATGCGCACAAATTTAACTGCTGTATTATCCAGGGATGATTGATTTATATACCACGCCTTTGGCGGGAAAATACCCGCAGGGCTTTGAGTGTTACAATTGGATCAAGTTTATGACCCAGTTCTCCAGAGAGTTCTCGGAAGCTTTGTTGGCAAAGTATGCGAGCGCAGAATTGGAAACTTTCAGGGGTTTAAACCCCTAGTCAAACTCATGTTTTTTTCTTTATTCCCACGCTCTTCAAAAGTGATGACATGGTTGCTTTAGAAAAAAAAATTAGCTAGCTTAGATCACAGCCTCTGCTAAAGTTCACTTTTGTAGGAAATGCCCATTCACTATTTCAATAAAGTTATATTTTTCTTCCAGGTTCCGCTAAACGACATGTTTGGTTATTCCACCGAGTTACGGTCGCAAACACAGGTACAGGAATTTGTTTACGGTTTAATGTTTGTTTGGACCTCCTACATTCTACAGCCTTGCGGAATTAAAAAAAAATGTTCATTTATTTCTTTATTTTGTCGCCCAGACTAAGATTAGAATGTAGAAAGATACTGGGATGTGAAGCGATGTAAAATAAAGCCTTCTTCTTTAGTTTCTGAGAGCTTACTATCATTCGCAATGGACGCCATTTTGATTTCTGTCCAGCCAAACAATCCATGCATGCTTTGCGATCGCAGTTTCAGTCCCAGGCCCTTTTTCGTTTTGTTACCGGCGAATTTGTAAGGTGGTTAAGGAGCAGGCAGCAGGCGCATTGAATTGAAATGCCCATATTTCAGAAGGAATGTCTGGTAACCTCAGTCAGCTAACTCCTAAACATGCTGTAAGGGACTGGTTATTATTTATCGGCGGGAAAGGGTCGGTCGAAGGACTTTGGTTGTGTCTCAATAGAATTTACTCCATCCCCTCCATGGCTCTGTATTTCCACTACCCTCCCCCCCCCCCCGATTGGGAGTCATATTTTATGGTCCACTCCTACGTGCACTGGCAGCGACGACTGCTTCCCCCCTCTATTCCTCCTGAAAACAATGTGACACCCCACTTAAAAAAAAACAAAAAAAAAACCGTCTGTTGTCTCCTTCCCTCCCCCGCTAGTGATAGATAAGGACTGGTTCCTAAATAAATTAAACAATACAAAATAATCCTAAATGATTTTATTTGGAATGTTCTAGGGGAAAGGCGACTTCACTATGGAATACTCTAAATACTTGCCTGCCTCACAACAAGTACAAGCGGGACTGGTTGAAAAATTTGACTTAGAGAGGATCAAGAAAGCTAAAAGATAGCGTATGTTTACGCTGTCATCCTTCCCCTTCCTCGATTATATTTTCGTCATTACTGCCATCGGCACTTGCTTCCCTGGTTGCGCAGTCCTGGGACTTATGCAAGTGGCCACAGATCGTTAATGGAAAAGACGAAAGAGTTGTATGAATAGTGGAGTCTAACAATAAGGAACATTTTGAAGATTAATTCGATATCTAGAAAGATGTATTTATTGACGCGTTCTCTACTGGGCAGAACTAGATTTCACTTTAAAGAAAAGCGGGGTTTCTATTTCCCCGGCCCCAGCCTTTTTATTTATTATTATCTTTTTTTCTCTGCCATTTGAATTTGTCCTCTCTCGTCGAATAACTTTTGTAACATGAACTTTTAGTCAGAGTGCCAAGCGGGCGTGGTATTTCTGTTATGGGTAGATGATGGAGATTTAGATTGTGATTAAAATTAGTATGATCACACGGTCGATTAGCCTAAGTTTAGGACAATTTTTAAATCAGTCTCTTACGCAACTTTGTTGCCAGGCCGTCCATTTTGCCCGACGATACTAACAGAAACACTTGAAACCAATTATCCTTGTGCCATGCGCCCCAAGGAAAAAAAAGGAGACCTCTTTTTTTTTAATTTTAAAATTCAGATTAGTTTTATTGGTGGGCGTGGCCCAAACGAAAGTGTACAATGACTCATGATGCTGTTTTTTTTTTTAAGTGCGTTTTGACGGAGCGCCGATCGTTGTGTATAGGGGAATCCTTGTTTACAATATTTGCCTCATTGGCATAAGCAATTAAGTTTCTGATGGAGCTAAATATAAATCATTTCTGAATATCGAAAGGTCAAAGTACGATTAACTCGGCCAATGAATACGAGCCTGATGCATTGAATACTTTTTGTGCAACACGGGTTTAAAAACTCAAAACTTTACATAGAATGTATGAGCTCATTAGCGCTTTTGCCACCCAGAAATTTTGCAGTTTTTGATGGACTATTTCTCCTTGAATATTACAACCAAAGAGCTAAAAATTTCACCAGGTACTAAGGTTTTCTAGCTCTTTAGCTGCCTGAAGTCAATATTTGTATCTAACATGCTTCCTTCTTTACGCAAAGACGTATGCAAATGAGCAAAAATGTAAACAATGACGTCAGCATGAATCCGCCAATTCCGGTTAGCTTCCGCAGCCGCGCTAGGAATGTCACACGAGATTGCGTGACATTCCAAAAATTGTTCAAACCTCAAGACGAACCACGAAAGAAAAAGCTGGCACAATATACGATAACAATAGGTAATGGAAAGTTTGTTACTTAAAGCCTTCTTAAAACATTTCACTTCAAAAAAATAAACACTTCACAACGTTTATGCTTTGAAATTCTTCTGTCATTAGGTTTGTAATAACCAATCAGACAACTTCAAAATATTTATCACAACTTTTTTTCTGTTTTGACAATCTTTTTAAACAAAATCACGAATATCACAATTCTTTGTGTTTTGACAATTTTCTTCTTTTAACTCACGAACATCAAAAGTTAAAAGGTATACGTTTCTCAATAAAACGACCGTCTTAATAACAACCGTACAAACCTGCCCATACCGTAAATTTTTGGGTGATTTTGTTCGTTTATACGTTAATCGGATTTCACTAATGGGGAGTTGTTGGAAGGTCACTCAAAATTTTTCGTCGTTAGTCACAAGACAAACGGTTTGATCGGGCATGCAAGGAAAGTGCAAGTCGAACGAAGAGGACGAAACAAAGCGAACCTTGAATTTACAATTACTCGTTTTGTTCCATCAATCAACAGAAACGAATTTTCGCAACGTGAGAAATTACGGTGGCCTTTTACCTTGGCCTGACCCAAATCGACCATTGTTTTCAATCTAAACTATCTGATGGACTTCCTCGTGGAAATAATGCATTCCTAATCTGTCAAATAACATGTAGCGACCTCCTAGCCTACGAGAAGAAAAACTTGACTTTTTTAGGGTCTTGGGTAGAAGCATTCAACTGATGTTGATAAATTTGAATAACAATTATTTAACTACGGTATGATAAACATCTATGTCCTTCGTTCAACAGCCAGCGGGGAGTTGTCTCCAGTTTCTACCATAGCTAGCTACGAAGTTAAAAAATTTCTTATCCTTAAGTCGAGCGAGTTCTTCCTTGACTCATCTTTAATGCTAAAACGCAGAACCAAAACTCTAACCAAAAGAAACAATGTTCTCCTTCTCTTAGCTGCCTTCCTAGCGTTTTCGTTTTCGCATCCATTCCTCGTGAGCGGTCGTAAACGCATCTGACAGCGCCAAGCAAACTGCTTTTGCCATTTCCTCCGTCTTGAAAACGAACGCATGACATTCAAGTTCGCCTTCTCGTTCGACGATGAAAGAAAAGATCATTTTGTTTCTCAAGTCCGTACAACAGTAAGCAATGTCAAACAACTTGTAGCAAACATCTTCCTTTACTCCCGGACCTTGGTCAGTGACTGTGATTCCACGAAAGGCATTTGACGATATTAAGAGCGAAACCTTACGTTTCTTCGCCTTTCTTTGGACAGCATCGTATAGTTTGTCGACACATCTTGCACTAACTGAAAGTCCGTTTTCGGGCCGCAAAAACTCTACCACTTTTGTCTTTCCGAGATATCGCGCCGAGTAGGTAGGTTCTTCATCGTTTAGCTGGTAATATCCTTTGGCTCTCTCCGACGATAGTTTTCTTAGAATAATGTTATTATTGTTGATGGCCATTACAAATATTCTGCGCTAAACTGAATAACTCTACTTCTTGTGGAGACTAGAGAAGACAATAGCTTCGCCTTTTGCCCTCGAAGACAATAGAGACTAACCCTGGCCGTGTCTTATGACTGTGATAGTTGTTTTTTCACGGCGTGGGCTCGACATAAGACAGATGCTCTTTAATCTCTATAATAACAATCAAATGTTGAAATCCGAGAAGAATAACAAAATGGTTTCCTTCGCAGTCTTTTTTTTTTTTTTTTAGATGTCACGCGATGATCCTATTTTTAGGTGTCACACAACGATCTCTTCTTTGGTAGGAAAATTTTGAGTAAGTGTACGTCGAGCTAGGACTTTTATAAAAATGACTTCAAAAATTTAGCAAGTGTTTTCAAGATGCAAAAATGGTGGCGTACTTTACAGGGATTAACTGATCAACTGATCACATGGAACTTGAAAAGGCATGATCACACCCAGCACCCTAATGACCGTTGAGAAATTTACGAGAAAAATAGTGCTCCACTTTGGTTATGGCTCATAAAACTATAATTTGTAGCTCGAAGTAAGTGCTCGTTAACTCAAACGAAAACCTGGAAACCTAAACAATTTATTGAAAGAACAAACAAATCATTTCTTTCGAAATTTCGGCTACTTCCGGCTCAAGCATAACCAGGCGCAGCCGTTTTAAAATTCCGGTGGTTTTTAATGGAAACATGATCGTTAGCAATTCAGTTGTGATGAATTAGAGATAATGTTGCAAAAGATAACATGTTCGGTTGTTCTGATGAAGAAGAAGAAAAAGAAGGAATAGTGCTCTCTCCATCTCTTACGTAATCAGCTATTGTCACGCCCTGCGTGACAACTGTCCACTCTCTTTCAGGCATGCGTGACATTGACTCATTCAAATGTCCGCATATCTTTTGTGTATGAATTGTCTCGTAAAATATAGTCTCCCTCGCAGCGGTTTTTTTGGATGTCACGCAACGCTCCCCCAAAAGAACGGCTGCTGACAACCGAACTACATTCCTTTCTCATTGTCCTTGCGGTTTGTTCGCGGTCTATTGAACAGACCAATCACATGTCAGAAAATCTGAATG